TGTAAAAACTATTATTTGTAGTTGTCTCTTCTACTTTTCTCTAACAAGTTTCTGTTTTCGTTTGCCATAAGTTTAGTACAAGTGATCATCAGAAAGAGTTGATTATTTTATTTCAAAATTAAATAAATATTTAAAGTTATAGTTTATTATTTAGAATTAAAAAATAAAATTCAACTGACTGATAGATTTTTGAAATCTTGTAAACAAAATGAAAAATTAACTATGTGTAGTTTAATAGCTTTACTTCTCCAAGCTACTGTATATAATGTCTTAGCCTCCACTTAAAAGCAAACATGATTTATAATATCATAAGGTAGAAGTCTTGCTTATATCTTTAACTAATAAAGCAGTAAACTTTATAGAGTATGATCTATATGCTTTGAATATTTTATAGAAGTTAAACAAGTTTAACAAGTTGGATCATGAGATATTAGTCTTACTATATGAATATAGCCATTTTAGTACTTATTACCATATATGTCTAAAAATAAACTATCATTTTTGGCCAAAAAGTTACACAAAAATTTTGTGCATAGCTTATTTTTAGATATAAATTTTTTTTTGCTAATTGCAAAATTTTTATTAAGTAAATCAATCATATATATTAAGTAAAAATTGTTTAGAAGATCAAAATATTTATATTCTAAAAGTTTTATATAAATTGGATAACTTTTTTATTAATTAACTTTTGATTTTTACGTTTAACTAAAATAAATTTTAAAGATTTTAAAGAAATTTTAAAAAATTTGTTAAACGTAATATGCAAAAATATATTAATAAAAGTTATTCAATTTGGATTAGACTTTCAAAATATATGTATTTTGATATCTTGAACAACTTTTACTTAATAAGCAGTATCAATTTACTTAGTAAAATTTTGACTTTACTATAGAATAACTACTGATGATCATTAAGTAGCTTATTTTCGGGTATGACATTTTTATGTTTTTCTTTTAAAAAAGAAAGGTAGCTTATTTTGATAGTAGCTTATTTTTAGCAACATACAGTAACTAAAATAGTAAAAGAGCATAAACTAGTTTTATTTGTAAAAAAAATAGCTAACAGCTTATTTTGTTTGTTTGTTCTAAACTTATAAGAAGAAAATTTAACAAAAATAACTATCTAATGCTAAATAAGCATTTTCATGATAGTAAAATCATACCAATTGATAATTTTATATTTAAAATAGTGTTTGTAACAGAAAGAACTATCTAAGTTATCCTAACTAATCCTTCACTAATGTGCAGCATATAATAAATTATTTTAAAATATCAGATCATTTCGTTAATATATAATAATCTAATATTATAAAATAATTTTTTTATATATTGTACATTAGATGAAGAATCAATCATATAATATTGTATAAGTATTATCGCAGATCATAATTTAAAATGAAATCAATATTTCTACTCAACCTGTTAACCTTCTAAAACCCACTTATACTTGTTTATTATAACTTTACTTTAAAACTAACCCCTAACCCTAACCCCTATCCCTAAAAAATGCACCCCAAAAAATTTTATTTTTCGAAATTTTATATTATAATTTCATTTTGATCTGGATTTCATTATGATCTGCCACAAGTATTATTATTATATTTTTTATATGTTAATAATTAGTTCTATATTATAATTATACTCAAATCATCAAAACGAGACTTATATTATAGGTTCTAATTATTTATTTATAATTATTTTTATTTTTAAACTTTTATCTATAATATTTTTATTTGATTTATTCTTTTTTATCTAAGTAGCAAATCTTTATCCAGTTACATAACTTACTTGTAAATAACCCAGATTATACAAATATAGGTTTAATCTTTAGTCGAAAAATCCTTACTTAAAATTTAGAAAAAAAATTTTAATTTTTAGTTTTTTCAAAATTTTTTAATTTTTTTTTATCTTCTAGCTAGGATTTCTTAATAACTACTAAATCAAATTTAATAAAATTTTTTTATTTTGATTCTACAAAAGTATGAACTTAAAATAAAAAATTTTCACTAAATTTAATCAAGTAGTTATTAAGAAACCTTTGTTAAAAGTTTGAAAAATCTTAAAAAATTTTAGATGATTGCTAAATTTTAATTGGTCATGCAAAATTTTTTAGATTAATTTGAAATTTTTATATGCAAGAGTAAATCTAATTTAAATAGTTATGTTCTTATAATTTTATCTTTTCAAAAAAAATTAAAAAATTTTGTCTTTTAAATAAAATAGATTAAAAACAATTTCATCTTTAAATTTTAATTTCGTATTTCAAAACCTAAAATAATTTTGTTGACATATATAGTTTGATGCTAATTTTGTCTATGTTTTAATTTTTTATTTTAAATTTTTGTTTATTTTTTTTGTTTTTTTGTTTATTTTTCAATTTTTGATAATTGTCAGAAAGAATCTTTTCTTTTAGTTGTCTCTTTTACTTTTTCTAACAATATTCTTTTTTGTTAGTTATAAGTTTGATACAAGTGATTATTAGAAAGAGTTGTACTATATTTATATATATATATTTTGTTTTAAATATATTATATTCAAAGCCATGCCCAATTAAACATTAACAACTCTTTCTGACATTCACTTAAACCAAGACTGCACCAAAACAGTTTGAAAATTTAAAGTCCTAAAAAGTCCAAAGATATCTAAGGTTCCTTATTGGTACTATTGTTGATGAAGACTTATACATGAAATACCAAGGAGCAAATATATATAGTTGATTTGTGCTCTGGGTCAAGCTTTTCTTCTTGGTAGACTCCTTTATATATTCGGCATCCAAGCCAAAAGGATTATTTTAGTAACAGTAGTGGTGAAAAACTTCTGACTCAAGTGTCTAAAGCTTTTAGTTTTATGAAGAACAACTGGAAACACTTTCATTGTTTTGAGCTCTCGTAAATACAGTATTTTTTCTTTTCGATACTTTTGGTCATAACTTTCAACAAAAAAAAATGAAGAATTCAGCATACCCCTCCAAAAGATCGATAATGTTTACCATTTCTATATCAAAAAACTCTGCATGATGACAAACAATATGTATAAAATAGACAGTGCTGACGAATTTAATAACTAGATAAGTATTTAGAAGAATACCTTACTTATTGTGTTGTTAAGGACATACAAACATATAATCATTAAATAGAGTATATGAAAATTCCAAAATTCTTATACTTTCGGATGAAGATATAGATTTAATTGAAAAAGTAAAGCAAAATGAAAAGAGATATACAAGCATCCTCTAGTCACCTGTATATAATTTTTAACCTCTAACATGAGTTATAGTGCATTTTATTTTAGTTTTAAATTTCTTGTTAAGACTCTTACACTTAATAGTAGATTGTGACTCTGTATAATTAGAAGTTTTTGCCTAGTTAGCAGATTTTCTTCTTTTTAGTGATAATTTTTTTTAGGTTTTAGTTTAGTTTTTTTATATTCCTTAATATTAGTATCCGTTTTCTTTGTTGTATTAATTTTTATTATATACTACTTTTTTTTGTTCCCTATTATCTCTTTTTTTCTTTTTTTCTTCCCTATGAGAAAATATCATCAGTTTGGTGGCATTTTATTATAAGGCGAGAATCTTGACAGGGTAACACAACAGCCAACCAAGGAATCTGGAGAAAATAAGTCCAGAGTAAGTTTCAGATCTCTGGAGAAAGCCAATCATTTGCTAGGCAGATCACATCGAAGCAAAACACAGCAGGTTAATGATTCACTCTGACTGCAAGTGGATGTTATAGCATCTGTGAGGTACACCATGAATGAGTTTATATTTTGGTTAAAACACATATAGATTTAGATTTCTTATGCCAATATAAGGATGAAAGTCTGTTCCTATAATAAAGTAAACAGAATTGCCGAAGGAAAAAAAAAATATATTATATTAGATATTTTTTTTAATGTTTCTTTTAATAATTGTTGCAGATCATAATGAAATCAGATCATTGTGAAATTTAGGGGTCTCAATTTAAAGATATAAGCTCTACCAAAATCCACCTATACTCTTTTCCTAATAATTCTAACCCTAAACCCTAACTTAACTATAAAAAAAAACCTAACTAAAAAGGTCCCAAAAATTTTTAAAAATCATACATAAAATAAGTTAAATTTCATTTCATTATGATCTGCCACAATAATTAACACATTTTTTTAATTTCTTCTAAAATACTATTTTAAACTTCTATCAAAATAGAAAGCTCTTTATTTTTATTTAGCTAATCTTTTTATTCTTAACTTTATTAGTATTGTATATAGCTATTGTTATTCATAAAAATATACAGTTTACCCTCGTTATAACGTAGTGGTCGGGGCTGAGAAATTCTGTTCGTTATAATGAATATCCGCTATAGCGTTATATAACATAATAATAACAATTTTAGATAGTTTCAGAAAATTGCTCCGTTATAACGAGATATCCACATAACGGGTCCGTTATAAAGAGAGTAAACTGTATATTGCCTTAAAAAAATTACTAGCACAATATGTATATTTAAATTTGATCAAAAGTTTAGAACAATCGGTTTTAATAAATCATTAAAGATGATGAAATCTGATCATGCCTTTATTGATATTACAACTATAAACATGATCCTAATATATCGACGACAAATGTGCATCCTTTATGATCTCGTAAGAAGGTCTAATATCAATGGGTATTCCTTCAAGTTCTAATTTATTCAGTGCTTCTTTAACTTCTTTTCTCACTTCACCATACGTATCTACAAATTCCTTTACGCGTTTTTTGTCACCGTCTCCTTGTAATATTAATATGTCCCTTGTTAAATTAGAAACTGCAGATATGACAGTGTCAAAATTGACACTGAAACGTGCGGTCATGGGATCATATATGAATCCGCCTTGTGATAAAATATAGTTTAATTGTATACATTGGCCCAAACCATGTGCCTTTTGAAATTACAATATTATTAAGATAAAGAACATAATACCTATATATAAGGACTCCCACAGCAAAAAAGGTGATGGCACTATATAACATATAGTCACATTCCCTTCTTACTGTGGGCGTCCCTAATATTTTAATATCTTACTTACCTCTTTTGTGCCGAATCGAACAGATCTAAACGCCGAAGCAAGATATGTTACATAAAATTGTTGAATTGATGGTTCGGTTAAAAGTCCAATTTTGAGTAAATGAGCAGCAGCGAATAAACCAGTTATATCTGGTGTAGATTATGTATAATTAGAATACATTAAGTATAATAACGAAATGATGTAAATCTACATACCAGCTTTGGCTTCTTCGATCGCAGAATGATATTCTTGTAAACGCGATCTGACTGTAACCGGATTAGGTCCAACTGTATAGTGTGGTCCGTTAGAGTGGGCTACTTCATGGAGGAGAATGTGTGTCTATTCAAAATATGTATGATTACGGGTACTGAACCGTATAGACCGTTTAAATCATAAATATATATCAAATAAACTTTACAAAGAATGCATCAAACGACAAATGCTGAAGCTGATTTTCGGCTACAGTTAATCTGGCGATTGGTTCCAAAATACTATGATATTTTCCTGCAATTGAAAAATTATACTATAAAAATTGTGTATAATAAAGAAATTGGGGAATGAAATAGTTATACCTTCTTGTACATTCTTAATGATAACTAACTTTGACCCTCCGCGTTTAATAGCTTCTTCCTATATAGTCAAATAATCTGTAAATAAACGTATTAATTAACTTTCTAAAAGGAATACTGAAACTTTACATCATTGGGAAGATTGTATGCGGCAGTCATAGGAACTGTTGGATAAAGGCCAAATGTATCAATATGAATAAACTTGCGGGGAAAAATTAAGCCAAAATAAGTACTCAATTAAGATAATTTGATACCTGCAACATCGCCAGCAGCGTACAATTCGTTTACCACAACAATTGGAGTGGTTTTTAAATCACTGTTTTTATATTTAGGTGGTACAGGTAGATTATTTTCTACTTCTTGTAAACTATTAGAAAACTTCTCCAAGACTTTAGAAAATTCAAAGTCTCGTGCATGGATGTAAAATTCAAAAGCACTTTTTGCGGAGAATAGTTCATCCGTATATACTTCATAAGGTCCCACAGTAACTTGAAATAACTCATATAAGGTCAAATCTTTTGAGAAACTTTGAGATATTATAATTAATTTTGCATACCTTCAAGACGGCTTTCTTTGCTGATGTTCAGCCAATCAACTTCACTTTCCAAATATTCGTTATTCAAAAATGCTTCAGCCCTTGTTCTTAAAAATTTGCTCAAAGATTCATCTTCGACTAATTTTGAACTTTCTTTTAACAATCCTGCTATTTCGCTTAATAAATCTTTATATTCGTCGGAATAAGGACTCAAATACAGTTCGCCTCGCGGCTCTTTTCGCTTAACGACATGATAAAATCCTTTGGCTTTAGCTTGTTGTTCTGGCTCAAGGGTTCTAACCCATGATTCGAATTCTTCTTTTGTCATATCTTCAGGATAAAAATTTCCTCCCTCGGGTTTGTGAACTGGCAGGTTTGGAGGATCGGATATGACCAAACCGTCAACACGATCCCATGGACCTTTCAATAAATCAAATACTAATAGTGATCTTTTGTCCTTGGCGTTTTGGAGTTGGTCGAGTAGAGCCTCGTTACCCTTCCATTTTTGACGAAGGTAGATCCTTTTATTAAAAACATAGACAATTTGGTAAAATGATAATTTACAAACCTTAAGCAATAGTTAAAAACACACCTATCGATCAATTTTCCAGCAGCAACCAATCGAGAAATTGCAATTTTTTCATTCTCTGTAAAGCTCGTTAAATCTGCTCTTAAGGAGACTAGGGCATATCTGGAAATAACTTTGCCAATGGCATCTTCAATAATTGGATTCATCGCCATAATATTGTCAAAGCCATGCCGGTACATTGACTCACCCATGTATCGATAATCATGTAACCCGGCAATCGTAACCATTTCGAGTTTACAAACGCACTGTAACTATAAAGAAATTTTCCGTAACACAATAACTCTTTCTCATGATATCATTTTTTAATATAACAGATATTTCACGGTGTTCGACTTGAAAATACAGAAATAAATTATATAAAAAACTAACAAAAAAAAGTATGCTAGAAAAATGTTGGCTTCAAGTAGAACTCGCTACGTATTTTTAATTCACGAAGATATGAGTGAGTTGGTTCTAGGTCAACGAGCCAGTAACATTCGAAATATTGAGTACAGTATACTTATAAAAGTTAATTTTTCTTTTGGCTGACTAAAACTAAGTTTTCGTCCTCACCCTTTTTTTGACACACTTATCGTATCAATTTACTGTAACACTTAATCGATACCGAATTTGGTTTCCTAATGTAGGGAAGCTACTGGTGCGCGAATAAAAATTGACAGAGATGGTAGGGAAGCAATTATTACCGGCACGTATGGGCAATGTGAAACTGCCAAATCACGAATGAAGCACTATTTAGAAGAAGAATCCGCAAAGCCAAGACCCAGTGTTTACCCTGACGTTGGTTATACTATTGTTGATTTGCAGGCACCCTCAAAAGGGTCAAGAATTCGTTTTATTCAATATATGGAGCGCGACAATAATTCACACTCACATGGAAGGAACTTATATTATATTCACCTATCAAACGAATCTCCCTGTTTACATACTGATTTAATGAGAGATTGGGGTATTCTTACTCCAGAAGTCGAATCGCCCAATCAAGTAACGAAAAGTCCTGAAGAATTTATGCCTAGTCCCTCTACTGATATGGGAGATCACAGGCTCTGGTTAGATGAATATGGTCCTTTTTCAGCAAACAGAAGTTGTAGTAGCAGTAATTCTAGTAAAAGTTTCAGTACCATCGGTCGAGATACATGCGATGATAATGATATCACTGCATTGCTTCCGTCTCCTTCGAGACAACGACCATTTACAGTTACTTCTTTGCTGCCGTATTGTCTTAAACAAATTTCTGATCGTGTTTCAGAAATGTTTCCTATACGTGAGGCAGGATTAGAAATACACACAACGTTATACGTAGGACAGGAATTATTTTTTAACATTCCGTTAGAACCTTTGAGCTTAGACATGAAAGAATGGTGTGGACTTAAACGTATCGGCCATAAAGCTGTAAAGACTTCCTTCCAACATCATGCGCCTTCTATTGATGGTCGAAGGATATTGGAAGCGAATATGGGATTCAAGAAAACTTCATCTACGCGCCAAAACGAAAAATGCTCCATAAACGTATATTTCAACGACGGTGAAGAAAAGAAAATGAAACTTACCTACGACCAAATTTCCCGTATGAAGATTTCATGTTTCAATTTTTCTTATTTAAGATCAGGAAAAAAAAATTATTTTATTTTATTTATTTATTTATTTATTTTTAAATAATCAATCCGAATTGGCGTTACAATTTACTAGACGAATGGACAATTAAAAAAGTTGTAAAGAATTTGCGACGTATTGTACTTATGGATCTTTTGTCAGGCAGTGATGCTCCTGATATAAGGTTTACACTTAAAACCCAGACACGAATTCCAATTGATCCCAATTTGAAATGTCTTATCAAAGACGTGCAAGATCCAAATCGTAACGAGTCTTTTATGGCTTTGCGACCTTCTGATTTCGCAGGCACGTGGCTTCATGTAACACGTGTCGAACAGGCGATCAGCAAAACGAAGTTTTTGTATGTATATTTAAAATATTATTGTAATCTTAGCATTTATTAAACTTGTTCTACACTTCCTTTTTAATAGTAATGAAAATTATCGTATTAGCGTCATACCAACAAAACAAGACGCAGATTCAGAAAGAGTCACATACGGAAATAATGTTACTCTTAAACATGTAGATTGGATTCGAATGTTTAACCGATTATCTAATCTACCAAACAAAGATCAATATCAGCAACAATCATATCAAAATGAATATGATCTTATAAGTTTTGAAGATATACCAAAGCAAACAATCTCGGTTTCGAGGACGCAAAAACAGAACATCGAAGACGACGTTTTTGGGATCGAGTTCTTATCAAACCACATAAAAGAAGATTACAAGAAAGAAGAAAATATTTCATCCGAGTTCAAAGGGATATTACAGTGCACAATCCCCGCGTCATTAGACTTTGCTCGCCAATTCATCCAGCGTATTGGTGACGATTAAAAACTTATAAGCTTAGTCGAGTCGATAGTTTTGATACGGCTAAGCTGGCTTAATCGGTTATTATCTCAAAAAATTATATCTATTTTTTGCAGGAAAATCCCGAAATTCCGGATTGGAATTCATCGGAGTTGGGCCGGCATTACACAATATTATTCGACTACGTCTATAGCAAAATTATCAGCCGGGCATTTTTATTTAATGAATGGGCTATGACTTCATTAGTGAATTTTGAGTGATCTTAGGCAAAATTTGTTACTTCTGGCCAGTCGACTACGATTTGTATTTCGATCTTGATCTTCCTATACGAGTTGCCAATAAAAATTATGGTCCGGGAAACCCCCGCTGACCACGCTCTTGTATAATGCTCCAAAGTAAAAAAAAAAAAACATAAATGCCATTACGTAATTAATATTCTCAAAGTAAATTATATATGTTTAATTAAATTAACGAGGCCGACAGATGGAATGACCTAAAAACTTATTACATTGAGCATGTTGCATTTTTATTGCATGATATATTTACATAGTTACTAAGCCGAATTTTTAAAGAATTAGCGGAACGAATTTGAGGTAATTGTAACTCAATGTCTACATTAGTTTTGTGCACCAAGAACTTTTAAATATAAAAAAAAAAGTAATAAAATTATGTTA